ACATGCTGTTTTCTGGCTTGGGCGTCCTCGATTTAGGATACATTGAAATGGAACTTGAAATTTCTAATGTCTGGAGGGAATCCCTTTCGGCCAACTACTTAGCATCCTTAAAAGTAACATTGCTGGGTTTTTCTGACTACTACAAAGCATTGTGAGCTTAGGAAATTCGAAGAAGTTGGAATCCAGAGGTTGTGGAGGCATATAGCTTTGAATCATTAATTCTTCCAGAAGAAGGACTTAAATAAACATGAGAATGCACTAGCCAATCTTTCCGGATGACAGCATAAAAAGACAGACACTCTGTTTCGATTTCAGCTTCCTCGTGGCCTGTCAATTTCAGGAAAGCGGCCTCATTTCTCAGGTATTCCTGGTCTGAAATTGAGTTACGGATACCCATCGAGGGTAAGTAGCCCAATAGGAAAATTCTATGCTTTATTCCATTATTTCCGGGCCGCTAGTCGGTATGCAAAAATATGCGAGAGTTATAGACACCAAAACTTCCAGAAATAACGCCACTATCACGTGTCCTCTTTCGACAGTGGCACAAAGTGATCTGTGGTCTTACCTCACAGTTGATGTCTCGGGAGCGGTGAATTGTGGAGGCGGTGACTGCACAAAGACCGGAGGTTCTAACTTTTTCCGTTCATCTTGAAAGAGAATGCAGGTGAAAAAAGTGAGATCAGATGGGAAGGAGTAAGAAAAACAAGGATTCGGTTACGTTTCGATTGCTTTGATTGCCACTCGAGCCTCCCCCCTCACGAGAAACTCTCACCTGTATAAGGGGAAGCAACTTCCTAGTTAGTCATAATCACGTGTGGAAAAGAGTGCCCATCGTTAAGTTTTCGCCTTCATGTGTGTCCAATGAGATTCCCGCTTTAGTAGACTGACCTCATTTAGTAGGCTAGCCTCAAACCGTGGAACACAGACAACAACGCGGTGTCTGCCTTTAGGTATCACTCCGGACGCGACCCAACTAGGGAACGGATGCACTAGTCCATGAGTCAAAACTCTTTCCATCTATTCTCCTATCCTTCTGCAGAATACACTTTTCCTAACAATCTGGCTTTGTCACCGTCTTCTCTCCGCACCTAAAGGAACCATGGGCCTGGAAGATCGTAGCTGTTAGGGTTAAACCTTCTTAGCCCTACCAACCGCTCGATAGTTCTTCATGTCACTCAGTTCAATTATGAAGTCAAAACTGTCACTGATAATGGAGTATCGAGAATGAAAAAGGAGATTGAAACCTAATTTCTGGCCTACTGGTTATCATTATCAACCAGTCATACTCAACCCTAGCTGTGGATCATCTGGAGCTCGGATTACGGTTCATAATTCAAGGAGTCTAACATTATGCTAGCTAAGCGTTTGACCGAACGAGGTACTGAAACCATTGTAACCAGCGGAGATTCTGTAAAATACTCCAATTATTGCCCAAACGCCGAGGTTTATAATTCATTGGGCATGTCCTTTTTGATATAGGATCCACATTTAATCATATTTTAGCGCTTCTAAACTACCCCCTAAGCACTGTGCCTGAAGGTCTTTTGATAAATCACCTCTCATTCCTGTGCCAGATTTCGTTCAGTGGATGGACATTTTCAATTCTCTGAACAGTATCCTTAAGGATGAGCAAACTAGCTGCATAAACAGTTTAAGGTAAGGTAAGCGTATACAGAAGACTCAAACCATATGCAATAATTAAACAGTTACGTGTTCCAGAAAATAGCTTAGTAATTTCATTAAAAAATTACTTCAGTCGAAAATCTGAGTATCGGGCTGCTTTAACTAAAAAGCAGTATGAATAAGACGTCACAAAGTGTTAGCTGAATTTATTCGAAGTGCTGATAGCTCAGTCCCTATTGCGCGACGTTTTCATTTCAATTTTTTTTCCTTCTTTTGACAGAAGTTGAAATATAGATATATAACCAGCTGGGCCTCTTATACCTGGTGTAACGACGAGCGTTGCCTTGGTCACTGCTCTGCCGAAGGGGTTTACAGCTTCCACTAGGATTTCGGAAGAATCCGTAAGGAAGAGTTCGTTCACCTCGAGTCGGTGCTGGGTCGGAGTAATCTCAGTTATCTGAAAACATAATAATTATTTGCAAGTATGGAAAATCACAAAGAACTTCAACTGAAACACACGAAAAGGGACATGCTACAGAAAGCTGGGAAGAAGATAAAACCTTTCAAAAGTAGATTTCATCTGGGCAAGGAGCAGGGAGAAATTTGTAAGCCTTGGGAAAGATGGCGGACTAGTAAACAAGTGGGCGAAGCAGGTATTTTGGGCACGCATTTACCTGCATGTCTGGAGACGACACGAATGGGGCACCATTTCGGAACCAGTTGAGTTTGGGCGGGGGCACACCGGTAGCCTCGACTATGAGCGAAAGCGAAGTGCCCTCGGGACACTGAATCGTCTCCTCAGGCAGCGGGGCTATGAAGCTGGGAGGCTTGTTGGGACCTGTGAATTCAACAGAAAGGTCAGGTTAAAAGATGAACACAAACGTATTGCACATTTACTTAAGAGATATCGTTCTTCTGCACAGGAAAGTCCTGTTCCAACATATCCACGCTTTGCTAACACATACGGATGAAGTTACTATGACGTATTTTACAATGTTTATTTTTAAGGGGTCTTCAAAGGCATCGCCTATTACCCTAAATACACTGAAGCATAATTAAACAAGGCTCACGTAGCTGTTGATCTTGCTATCATATCGGGCAGGGGGGGGGAGAGACTTACTTAGAACTTTCAGCTCCGCTGTGCTTTCAACGGTTCCAAACGGATTCGTCGCGCGAACCGTGTACTCGCCACTGTCCTCAGGGCGAACCTTTGTGATGCTGAGCACAGCTCTGCCGTCGGGAAACTGCTGCATTTGGACGCAGCTAGATGGCTTGATAACGTCCGTGTGATTGAACAACCAGCATATTTCGGGTTCTGTCGGGGCAAATCGAAACATAGAGTGACGTTATTTTGCATTTTGCGTGGAGTTGTATATTTAAAAACAGGGGATAAATGCATAAGGCAGGAGAGCATACCAGGAGCACCAACTACTTGGGCGACAAATGTTGCGGGCGAGGCTTCCTGCGCGTCCAGGCTCGTTGGGCCCTGCAGAATCATAGGCGGTTGTTGCGGTGCCTGCTGGGGTTCTTAGAAAGGAAAAGAAAAGCTCGGGTCGGGCGCATTTACATGTAAGCCAACGTGCCTAAATAGAGCAACGGCTTAATAAACCTCCTGCGAACAGATTATACAGTCGCTGCTCATCAATGTCGCAAGTACATTGACAAAAGCCACCTCTGCCCGTCAGCAAGTAAGATTTGCCACCAGACTTCTCTGGCAGTACTTACCTTAAAACATACTGCTCACTACTTTTCAGTAATATGTTTGTTTAGAATAACTTTT